TCCAGCTGCACAAAATGAGGTAACATATATGAAGCTGGTCTCAAAACTGCGGGGTGAGTTACGCGGCGAAATATTGAGAATAATAAATCCGACAAATAGTAATAAGTGTGCCTCTTGGCATAGGCACACTTAATAATAATAAAATTCATTTAATATAAGGCAAAGACCCTACAATAATACAAATAAGGAAACTAAGTGCAAATAATTATATATTTGTACTGAGAAAGGAATTCTGAGTTTATTCACAAAGGAAAAACTGAAGCAGAGTGATGAAGGAGTACATCACACAATATGCCATTATACACTTCAAACTTACAAAGTTATTTCCGTCGATGCAAGTAGAAGCGTTGCAGTCTCCTGGCTTTTGTCCTGGCATCAATAGGCCATATTTCTATGACTTTTGCCCTGATGAGTCTGTAGGAGCTGGCACAATAGGTGGGTGTTTTGCAATAATGAATCAGAGGGAAAACAGTTTGAGGGTCTGTGGAGGCAAAATATATTTCATACTCAAGGCGTTTGTGTGCACTTATGTGTAACAACAGTATGTTAAACAAATTGTTAAATGGCCTCTTAGCCAGATCACTCTTGAAAAACAGAACTTCAATCTTAATAGACCTTTACCCAGATGTTACTATTATTCATATTATTTTTAATTATAGAAACTTTGGGAGATTAACCCTAATCAGACTAACATAATATCATTAACATTAAATTTTAATGTAGATGTAATATGGTGTAAAATATATACTATAAATACATATAGAATTTATTTTGTGAATTAAAGGTAAAGTTGTATCTATTCTTATCAGTTTAATTAGGTGCTTTCAATGTAAAAAATAACAATAAAACTCAGAGGTGTGTACCATTCTGGGATTGCTGCTTCTTCATGTGTCCATCAGGTGACTTCTTTATGGCATCAGGGACTGATTTCAGCAGAATGCTTGAAGACTGAGCCTGATTATTGTTTCTTTCATCTTTAGTCTTTCTTTCTTCTTGCTGTCTCCTGTTCTGCACCTCTTGTCCCACGGATTCTTTTTTCATTTTCCCCTGTCCCATGTTGGCTCCGTCAACAGTTGTGCTTGTGTCTTTTCCACCGTTTGTCTCTTTGTCTTCTTGGCTATGTTCCTCTGCCATCTCGGTGACCTTTACCTCCAGGTCTACAACTGATATACCCAAACAAAATTGTGTTTATTTTAATTCAGACGGCTTCACACTGACAGATATTCCGTTCAATTTCATTACAATCCAATAAGCATTTCATGTTCACTTACCTTTTTCAATTCAATTCATTTTTTTATATAGTGCCAAATCACAACAACAGTAGATCCTACATTCACTATGTACCTACACAATAATCGGCATCTAATTTTTAGTAGTAGCAAACCTATTTGAACATTCCTGTAGGAATGGCTCTAGAAGACATATTTATGGTTTAGAGAAATATATTATTTATGTTAATTTAGAAAGATCAATAGGAGAGAAAGCGAGTGTAAATATCAGCACTTATTAAAGCATCATTGGGATCGCTGTGAAAACAGAATACACTTCAACAACAGCTAAATTCAGTTGCCACTCATTGTGCACCTCGTACTCGGTTTCTATCTGATTTCTCAGACAATTTCTTGATTTATTGCTCTGTTCTAAAGAATAAAAAATTATTGTAAGTGATTTTAACATCCATCTAGATGCTAAAAACAACAGCCCTAACCTTGGATTTAATGATTCTATTGTTATAATCATGTAGCTGGTCTCAAAATGCGAACCCACCACTCATCACGAACTCCAGACCTTATTCTGATATACAGCATAGAAAATAAAGATTTAACTATATACTGTATTAAGTGAAAATCTTTTTGTGTGATTGTTTCTTAATAATATTTACAATAATTGATTATATAACAGTGGGGAATACATTTCATTACATTAGCAGTCTTTCTGAAAGTCCTGTAGCAAAAAATAAGGATGGAATTTCTCCACTGTTAGCTTCCTTTAATGTCATGTGTCAACACAATGCAGACCAGCTAACTAAACACTTACTCCCTCAGTGGTTGATTATTTGAATCAGAAATCAGATACAGAAATTGTGTTGCTGAGTTTTGTGGCACGATGTAGTTAGTTGTTGTTAGGACAAGAATAAAGTTGGAGTTGGAATAAAGTGAGAGCTCTCGTGTTGTCTGTGTTTACCTCCACATTGGTGACCCCTGACTTGAACATCTTACGAGATGAAGATGATGCCCGCTCCACTCTGGATGCATCAGCGACCGCCGGCCCTTCGCCTCCTGCTGCAGCTGTGTTTGCTGTGGCGCTTAAGCTGCCGGACTTTTTGGCTCCATGATCCCCCGTTGTGGTTCGTGCACGTGGAGGCTCAGTTTGCCCTTCATAGCATCTTGACTGACGATACAAAGTATCACCATGTGGTGGGCTCGCTGAACCCGCTAGCTAACCATCGTGCGATGACCCTCCTCTGAGACCCACCCAACCTTAAAGAGATCCTTCTTCGGCGCTACGCCGTCTCCAACGTGGAGCGAGCCGAAAAGCTGGAGAAAGGGCTGGAGGGCAGCTCCATATGGGAGGGAGGTCCTCACCTGCTTTGTGACGTTTCCACCGGCTGCTCACACCCAGTGGATCCCCTTTCATGGTGTCGTTGTGTTTTCAACTCAATACATGCCCTCTCTCCTCTAGGCGTCCGGGCCTCGTTTAAGCTGGTGAGTGCCAGGTTCATTTGGCCGGGCCTTCGCAAATCGGTGAAGGACTGGGCAGCGGCGTGTGCTCCATGCCAACATGCAAAGATCGATAGACACACACACAGGAGCCCCTCGAACCCTTCCGTGTCTCTGGTAGGCATTTTGATCATGTCGGCCCTCTGCCGCAGTCACAAGATTTCACACACCTTTTGACTGTGTTGGCCCGCACAACATGGTGGACGGAGGCCCTCCCACACTGACGTTACCTCGGACATGGGCCCCCGGTTTGTTTCGTAGCTTTGGTCTGCCATGGCTGACGGCCTAGGCCGTCAGGCCGTCAAACCACGGCTCACCACCCGCAAGCCAACGGGATGTGCGAGCGGTTTCACCATTAACTCAAGGCCGCGCTCTGGAGGGCTCCACCCATTGTACAGGAAGTGTGTTGCTGAGCTTTGTGGCACAGTGTAGTCAGTTGTTGTTAGGTCAAAAATAAAGTTGGAGTGAGAAGTGAGAGCTCTCGTGTAGTCTCCGTTTACCTCCACACTGTAATTGTTACGTTCAATGTGCATATGACGTCTTTCTTGCATTTGGATAGAATCTCTTAAATTATAGACATCTTGTCTGACAGGGATTCGAAAGCATATTTGTGCCAAATTGACTTCTCTTTATATGCTCCCTATTAAATCCAGAATCAAATTTAAAATCCATCTCCTCACATACAGGGCCTCGAATAAACAGGCCCCATTTTCTCTTAAAGACCCCATAGTCCCATATCAACTTGACAGAGGTCTTTGCTCTGAAACTGCAGGATTTAAAATTAGAATGGGAAATTCGGCTTAAAACCGTCCTTTTTGATAAAGCTGAATCAGGTGACCTAAATTCTCTCTAGTTAGGCTGCAAGGTTCAGGCTGCTAGAGGTTTTCCCACTGTTGCCAAGTGGACTCATCAGATTGTTGTGTTTTTCTCCCGAATATTGTAGGGTTTTTATCCTACAACATAAAGTGTCTTGAGGTGGCACTTGTTGGAATTTGGTTCTATATAAATAAAACTGAATTAAAGTTCAAGGAGTATTCGGCTCAACAGAGTTAACTGACTGGCTAAATTGCTACCAAAAAAACAGGGGTTGTTCCTGTTTTCCTCAATATGAGACAAATAGTAAGATGTCCTAGCCTGGAAAAGTATTTTTACAGGCCAAACAAAGAGTGCAACACAATTTTCTCTCTAGCTTATGAATCATCTCTTTTAAGGTCCATATTTTTGAGCTATAGGGAGTCAAGCATCTCTGGTTTGTTACCTTCCTTTTAAGAGGAGCCCCAATATCCAAGCTTGTATGCAGTGAGCATATAACACTACTAACAAGATCATCAACCTTTTCGGGAGTAAAGTTAAAAGTAGCTGCTGTGCATTGTGCATGCTTTTGAAGTGGAGGAAAAACCATTCTCCTGAAAACTTACACTGATAAAAGCTATTTTGGAGAGAGGTATATATAATCTATGCAAATCATGTAAAAAACGGTTTGAGTGTGTGCATGCATGGTTGTTGATCCTGTCTGTCTCTGTGTTGCCTTGTGATTGACTTTCCAGGGTGTACCCAGCCTCTCACCTCTCCTGAAAGCTGGAGATAGACATCAGCCACGTTTTTGTTTTTAATTCAGTCTTAATGTAAGTAAATCACTCAACTTAGTCTTTTCACTAAATTGTATCTCCCTACAGACACGAAGCATTGAGAAGAAAAGGGATCTCCTTATCTGCTGCCTCATTAGCTACCTCGAGGAAAGACAAGAAGATCTTTTTCATGACTGCCAGGTATGTCATATTGATAACAGATTACTTATTAAACTCAAGGGATCCTAATGTTCTTCTCTCCCGTCCTCTCCTATCCCCTGTTCTCCCCTTCTCCATTCATCTTCTGTCCACTCCCCTCTTTAGATAAACGGAAATATATTGAAAAAGCATCTTAAATAAAATAAAACGTGTATGCTTTTTGTTTCTTTCTTTTTAACACGTAGGAATGTGAGGATTATACAGACAATATGATGAAGGTGATCGTGATCCACAACATCATGGCTGAGGAGGATCCATCAGATGTGTCCACTGTGAATGAGGGAAACCAAGTGATGGAGGGATGTGGAAGCCGAACAAAGGCATGTGTACTGCTGATGGGACTGATATATGCCCTCAACCTCGAATATCCGAAGGAGAGAACACATTTGATACTTTTCAAAAACCTTTTTTGGAACTTTTGGCCAAACTACTGAAAAAGGTCCATGGCCTCAGAAATAAGCTTGTGCAATGCACACACATTTCCCCTCTTGTTCCAAGAGAATCTTTTGTCCAGACATAGCTTGATGGAGCTGTCATTTTTCTTCTGACAGCAAGCACAGATTGAATGTTGGTGTTAATGTTCTGTTCTATGTATCCATATTTTTGATAATGTACATGCACAGAAACAACCTTGTAGAGTTTCGGTATGTGCTTTTGGCTTTTTTAACATCCATGTAGATGCTAAAAAAATGACAGCCTCAACATGGCATTTAATCTGTTATTAGACTCAATTGGTTTCTCTCAAAATGTAAAAGAACCCACCCACCACTTTAATCACACTCTAGATCTTGTTTTAACATATGGCATAGAAACTGAACA